TGGAGAAGCTCCTTCCTCAAGGTTGATCTTGAGATCAAACAAGTGGTGTGGCAGAAGTTCAGTAGCCTTTTCTTTACTAAAGATGTCAGCAAACTTGTGATACTCAGGAGGGACCGAGGAGAGGTCAGGAGGTGGAGAAGAAGCAGAGGATGCATGAAGCTTCACATCATCAGTGGAGAGCTGCAAGCAGAACTGTTTAGAGCCAGGGAGAGCACAGGCTCTGACATATGCAGCAGCATTGATGAGTGAGACAAGTGGAGCAGAGTGCGGCAAGTCTGTCAGAGGTGCAGATGGAACTGCAGATGGAGCAGGGGGTGTCAGATCTGGAGTGGAGGTCACAGTGGAAGGAGATGAAGGTGCCTGGGGTGTCAGCATTCCCTGTAACAATGGTTTGAACAACACACTGCCCAGTACCCAGTCAATCAGTGGATTGAAGTGGGTGAGCCAGTTGTGTCCTAACACCAGCAAACATGAAGAATCCAATGGAGTAACATAAAATGAAACAGAGTTGACATCACCAGAAGGAAAGTGGAGGGAAAGATCTACCTCTTGAGAAACAACAGCATTTGTACTACCATCAAACAAGCAGAGTGGAACTGGCAGAGAAATGGAGGAAACAGGAATAGCATATTGTTTGATTATGGATGGGTCTACAAAACAATGAGAAGAGCCAGAATTGATCAACACAGAAAAAGTATCAACAGAGTAATCAAGAAGAGTTACAGACAGAAGTAATGAATTGGGGCTAGAGAGAGCAGACATGTTGAGTTGGACATCCAGTTGTGCACAGTTGGGATCAACACTTCCTCCAGGCTGTGTGAGCTCCCTGGAGGAGTGGACTAATTTTTTGGCTCTGCCTTCTCTGTGAGTGGAGGAGGTGGAGTTCCAGCTGTAGCTGCACATGCTTTGGCTGTGCAAGAGGTAGACTTGGGACAGTCCTTAGTGGAGTGGCCAGCCTTGCCACAGAAGAGGCAGAGGTTGTTCTCCACCCTACACTGGCATTCAGCAGAGGTGAGTTTGCCAGCCTTGCCACAGAAGAGGCAGAGGTTGTTCTCCACCCTATGCTGGCATTCAGTGGAGGTGAGTTTTCCATCCTTGCCCAGAAGATGGGCAATATCAGACTTGGATGTGTTGGACTTGGGCAGATCTTTCTGTTTGCCCTTGCCCTTGGTGTCAGACTTTGGAGTGGAGGCAGAGGATGATGATTTAGACTTGTTGTTGGAGCTGGAAGGCTGTGACTTGTCAGTGGCAGACCTGGTGGTGTGCAAGATCTCTGCTTTACACTCCCAGTAGCATGCATTGACAGTCTGAGTAAGCTTGTGGAGTTGTGCAAGGGTAGAGGTTTTCCTACACAGGTGATCTCATCCTTGATGCAGTCTGGCAGTCTGCTATAAAAGTGGTGGCAGAGTGCACTGACACCATAGTCTTTGACCTGTGAAGCCCAGTGATTGAACTCCACAACATATTTGGTAATTCAAGAACTGTCTTTCATAGTGAGGTTTTCAAGTTGTTGGATGGCATCCACTATGGTATCATGCAGACCAAAATTAGTTGTGAGCTCTTGTAAGAACTCATGATAGTTGTCCATCCAGAGTGGGCAGTCATAATTGTCAGGGTTTAGTAGGTCTGGCTCAAACCAAGCCAGAGCCATACCCTTAAGATAAGACTGAGTGAACATAACCTTTGCTCTGTCAGAGCAGAATGTGCAGGGGCAGTCCTGGAAGTTCAGCTTGCATTGTATGAGGAACTCATGGAGTTTCCTAGGGTTGGAGCTGTCAAAGGTGTCAGGCTCATGGACTTTGGTTTTTGGAGCACAGTCCCCAGTGTGCAAACTAGACCATCCAAGTACATGGACAGCTCTAGCAAGAGCTATGAGGGGATCCTCTGGCAGCTCAGCCAGGTCTTCAGGGATATCCCTGTCACCACTGCCCCCACTGCTGGGATCACCATCAGGGTCACCAGGGTCAGGGTTGGGTCCATCATCTTGGTTATGAGGAGATGGAGTATGGAAAGTGGTCAGGTGGAGGTCAGAGCAACCAGCCTGCAAAGCACTTTTGCCTTCAGAATGAGAGTGGCATCAAGTGGAGAATGATTAGAACTGTTCAATGATGGAAGGGAGTCAATGCAGATTAGCTAGCACAACAGCAAGGTTCTCAGTGACCTCTCTCTGGGATTGAGCTTGAGTTCTCATAATGGTGTAAGTTTTTTGGGAGACAAAAAGTGAGATTGTACAAGTGTGAGTATGAATATACTGTCAAGTCCAGGCCTGCTCCGACCAACTCTGACACTAAGCAAGGGCTGGGGAGAGGTTTGGAAGCAAGTCTGACAGAAAGAACTGAACTCTGACTGGCAGAGTGTTGGCAGGAATGAAGTCCACTGAGATAAAGGCAGAGCAGAGTGAGGGCATTGGGTTTAGCTCATGTGCTACCCCCTTGCATGCTCTCAGCCCTCATATTTCAGAGGGAGAGTACAGACAGAAAGACAGAGGTAACTCTGACAGACAGAAGATGGAGACAGAGGGAGTAGGAATTAAGTTGATATTCATACTGAGGAACAGCAGAGTACGGTACATGCTTTTATACTACTACAGAGGTACAGTAATCAGAATCAGAACTGACATACAGAGACCCAGAAATTTTCAAGTAAAACTTCCTAGACAATGAATGAAGGGTAGATGGAGGACACACAAACAGGTAACATAGAACATCCAGAAAAGGAAACAGTCCAGGTGCTGGACCATGCAGTGCACACACTGCAGAATACCTGACTGTGCACTGTCAGGGAGGAGTCTGAAGGTAGTCACATGACCCCTCAGAGAATGGTCTGTTTGGTCTGGTAGGAGAGCAACACAAGTCCAACAGCTGTTGGAGTGGAGATGGTTTGCAACTGACAGAAGTTGGGTGGAGTTGGTGCAGAGTGAGTGAATGACTGGTGGAAGAGGGTGTGGAGTGAGTAAGGACTTAGATTGAATGCACAGTTATGACATAGTGCATGAGCTAAACCTGATGCCCTCACTCCATTCTGCTTCTGCCTTGGCAGACCTTGTTCTTGCTGATCCTCTGCTAGCCAGAGTTCCATTTGACTGTGTTGGACTTGCTTCCACACCTCTCCCCAGACCCTGTTTCATGTTGGAGTTGGTTGGAGTAGGCCCAGACTTGACAGTCTGGCAATTTCTATGCTGGTATCATTGCACTTTGGGCATGCAGGGCTCTTGTAGCAGATAGATTGCCTGGAGTTCAAACTGTGCCCTAGCAATAGTCTAGCACCCATTTTCATCTTTTTGACAGTATCATTGAAGATGTGTTTCCACTAGGACAAGTGCCTGCTTCTTGAGGTAGGATATATCCAACTTTCACATTGAACTTTTGCTTCTCAGGATCTCCCATGCATTGTAGATGCTGTTCAACAGTATGGGCTAAAATGGAAATTGGTTAAGCTGGTCATCAGATGAAGGAAAACATACAGTGCCACCACCCTTCAGGCTGTGCCATCAAATGGTGTGGATGAGGCCAGTGTGGGACATGATTCTGGGAAGCATGCAACTAGAGGCAGACTGTAGAGGCAATTCCCTAGGATTGTCCCAAGGGGTGCTGAGTGGAAGGAGAAGTTGAGGATTACACTAGAAGGGATGGGGTATATGTGTGAGGTTTGCAGAATTTAATTCTGAAGGATTGTTGACATGCAAGCAACAGTGAGTTGGGTATATGGAGTTCCAAGAGGCAGTTACACAATAAGAAGAGTGTTTCTGAGGTGAGGGAGACACAAGAAAAGGTGTGATAGACTGGAGAATGCAGGAGGCATGGAGAACACTGAAGACACTGTAGACACTGTAGACTCAATGGATGCTTTTAGACTCTGAGGACTCTTGAACTTGCAAAGCACACACAGATAGTGACTCTGAAAAGTGGGTCAGTATTTTTCTGACACTACAGCAGAATTATATAGTACATGGGATGTGGGTATGAATTGGAGTAAAGTGGGGCAGAAAAACTAAAAGGCTGGAAAACAAAGGAAAGGATGACAGATGTCAGTGAAGTACAAATGCATGTGAAACAGTCTGGAGAGTGGTAAATGAGAGTAAAAGGAACAAAGGCAAGGGGGGGTATCTTCCAACAGAACAAGGGTATGTGTACAGGTGAGAGGCAGAGCTGGCAGGAAGGGCAGAACAGCAGAAGGGAAGAGCCCATGGGTACAAAGGATGATTTGTGGAATTTTGGGTGACAGGGGGAACTGGAGTTTTTAGAGGTGATTGGCATGGATTACTGGTGATGTGGCTGGGCAGTGGCTTGGATGCAGAATTCCAGATCAGCTTATTGATGTCTCTGGGTGAATATGGAATTTTTTGGATCAGCTTATTGATGGCCAAGGGACATGTTGGAGGTTGGGAAAAACTCTGAAGCTAAAAGGGGGTGGGATGAAACATGAGGCCATGAGTGGGAAGAATTCCAAAGGTGTTATGCCTGCATCAGGGGTCACCCCTTTTCGGCTTCTTGCAGTCACATGTGTCATGTCTGTCGGAAAAAAATCACAGCCATTACACGTGACTGTATGTAATTACAATGGATGACGTATGTTAGTGCCCTGCCAATGGGTAAAGTTTTCATTGGCATGGCAGTGTAATCCAGGGGTTGCTGATTGGAATGCCTGACAATGGCCGGCCACTCTGTGCTGGGAACACATGATTGCAATGCTATTGTTAGCCATTGCCTGCTGACTGAAGTGCCTGACAATGACTTGCTAGGCAGCTGTAGTTGCAATGTTATTGTACTACCATTGCAAACTATTTTCACCATTGTAATGTGTAAGGCTGTATTGCAATACCGTCATTTTCATTGTAAGACGACATAATCTGCATTGCAGTACTATTATTTTCATTGTAACCCTAATCCCTATTGCAATATTGCTAATATTACTGTAATCCATCACTGAGGTCTTGTCTGTACTGCTAATCTTTACCAGCCCACTCATAGAATATCGAGGTTAGTATTATGCGGAGTAGGTCAGTTGCATACAGCGCAGAATGATGGCTGTGCTGGTCGGACAGGCCTATGTACCAATGCCATTGGACGGAGGGTAAATGGGGTAGCAGAAAGCGGTAGTGGGAGGATGGGGATTGTCTTGACTCCACAGGTGGTCTGCATGGTCAACAGTCAGAAAGCAGGGATAACAACAAGTGTATGGGGACATATGACATACTTGGGGATCGGAGGAAGTGACACCAGACTGCATAACTCGGGCTAAGTTGGCAACCAGAGAAGGGGATTCATAGCACAGGTCCGAAGGGCTGTGTACAGGGCGGAATGATGATGAGTGTACTGCTTGGATAGGCCCATGTACCGATGCCAGTGGACAGAGGGAAATGGGGTAACGGAAAGTGACAGTGGGAGGGAATGGGGATAGCAACTCCACAGGTACCCTGCACAGTCAACGGTCAGAGAGCAGTGATAACAAGTGCAGGGGGACATACAACATACTTGGGAATTGGAGGGAGTGACACCAGACTGCGTAACTTGGCCTAGATTGGCAACTGGGGAGAAGGGGATTCATAGCACAGATCTGAGAGGCTGTGTACAGGTGGAATGATGACGCGTGTGCTGCTTGGATAGGCCCATGTACTGATGCCATTGGACAGAGGGAAATGGGGTAATGAAAACAGTAGTGGCAGGGATGGGATAGCGACTCCCCAGGTACCCAGCATGGTCAACGGTCAGAGAGCAGGGGGACATACAACATAGTTGGGAATCTGAGGGAGTAACATTGAAGACTCTGTAACTTGGACTAGGTTGGCAACCAGGGATGGTGTCTAGTCCAGGGTGTTGCTGCATGACTGGCAGTGAGATGGTATTAAATTGGGATGGGAAGCTAGGAACAACTGACCTAAGGAGCAGGCAACACGATGTAAAGTGACGAGACAGTAAATGCTTGTCCTGAAATCAAGTGGTAAAATTAGTTGCAGTGCTGGGTGGGCACATCCGTTGGTTGGTTTGGGTCACCTGTGTCTTTGCTGTCGGGGGCAGCGGCAGACTGGGGTGTGTGGCTGGCCATTGACATGTAACAACAGTGGTAGTTGAATGAAAAAACATGTTTCAAGTTCCGACCTCACACGTATTATAGCTGGAAGCTTATATAATTGCCCCAAAATGGTAATCCCCCTCTGGACATTGAGATTCGAGATATTGAATTGCTTGAGTCCATCACAAAATTTATTCAGCGACTGTTTCTTCATATTGTACATGTGCCAAACAAGAGAGCATTACATGAAGTATGTAGAGATAATGACAACTGTATTACTGTTTTAATTTAATGCTGCAGGTATTAATTGGAATACTGTTCGTGATTGCCATCTTGGAAATGTAGAAGGGAGTAATGTAGATATGAATTCATACCCTGCACGACTGGGGAGGGAAAAATATCAACAATGTTGTATACAATGTGTTTGTACCACCAGAATCGAAACAGACTGTAACGGAAACTGGGCTCTATGAACAAAACAAATATGGGGAGCGGGAAATCCTTCACCAAAGAGCTGGTGGGGCAAAAGTGGACACCTCCATATTCGAAGGCTGGGTGGGTACATGTGCCATCCAAGAATAACCTGGTGAAAAAACATAATACAAGGAAGATTTTTGTGGGCAAGTCTTCAGATGCCAATAGGTGCTGTTCAAACTACCTTTCTTTTGCTAGCACTTGCCTTCTGAATTGCTCTGGCACTACCATCCTCAGGACCACCACGCTGAATGCTCCGGTCGAAGTCATAGTCGTACTGGAAACCCTTGCAGAAGAGCTTGCGAAGGTAGGAGTAGTCGGGCTTGTCATCGAATTGAAGTGCTTGAGCATAGTTGAGGAGAATGCTGAATTCACTTGGGGAGCTGTGGTACAGCAAGCCTGTGGAAGTACCGTGCTAAATGCCCTAGTTGAAGACATGGTCGCACTGAAAACCCTCGTGAAGGAAGAGGTCTCGAAAGAGCCTGCATAGGTAGGAGTAGTTGGGTTCATTGTCAAACCAAAGTGCTCGAGTGTATTCCAGTCAAAGGTATAGTTGTACTGGAAACCCCCATGAACGAAGGGTTGTAGAATTGGAACCTGCGGGGGTGGGAGTAGTCAGGGTTGTTGTCAAACCAGTGGAGTGCCCAAATGTAATGGAGGAATATGCCAGATTCGTTCAGGAAGCCGTGACACAGCGTGTCTGTGCAAGTACTACATTGATCAACCACACAAAGGAAAACAGGAGTGGGAAAAAAAGAGCATATACGGTCATGGAAGGGACATGAAGAAGCAAATGTAGTAGTATATGTTGTATGAGGATGGCACTGAAGGGGGAGAGTCTGGAAAAGCGAGAATGGAATAGGCACCCACCCTTTTCACTCCCCAGAGGGAGATCAGGATAGCTTGGAAGAAAAGAGCGTCTGTGCTATACAAAATGATCGATCCAGATACGATGGCGATCCCATTGTACCATGGAACAGACGAATTGAGAGCAGACATTGAACAGAATGGTAGGTTCAACAAGGCTTGCCTTGGGCCAATCGCAAGGCCAGGAAGTGCCCTAAATGACCCCAATTCCACTGCAGAATGACCCACCAGGTGTGCCATCCCAACTGCAAACTTTGACCAATCATGACCGAGTAACCTTACCACTTCCCTCCACCCCCAATCCCAGTTGCACCCAGCACAAATCAGAAAAGCATGAACATGTCCTTTACCAAATATCACCTTCCCTTCCATGAGTTGCACCACATTGTTGGTGTACAGCACAAGTAGCATTGGCTTGCAGCTAACAGGTCTGCGAACGAAGCCCAACAACAATATAGAGAGTCAGACGATAAAGGAGTGGGAATGGGTGCAGCACCTACATCCTGTCACTGGCATGGTGGTCTTCTTCCTCTTGGACCACCTATCTTCTGCCAGCGCTCACCTTCTGACTCGTTCTGGCACTACCATCCTTTGGAACACCGTGCTGAACACTCCAGCCAAAGACGAAGTCATACTGGAAACCCTTGTGAACGAAGAGGTCGCAGAAGAGCTTGCGGAGGTAGGAGTAGTCAGGTTTGTTGTCGAACCGAAGTGCTTGAGTGTAATCTAAGAATACGTCAAAATCATTTGAGAAGCTGCAGCACAGCAAGTCTGTGGAAGTAGTCACCTTTTCCTCCACCATACAATTCTCATACTCCTGCTTCCTTGTGGCAGGCTTAATGCCTCGTTGGGGAAGTGCACACAGAGGAAATACATGAGGATGTAAGCAAGGGACCCCAAGTCATCATGGCAGGCCTGTTCAACCATAAAGTGAGTGTTATTATTGAGGTACAATAGGCAGTTCCTGTGAGGTTCTTGTTCCCCATACACCAGATATGCAGATGAGTCTTGGGGTCATGGTACTCCTTTGCAAAACTGAGGTCAGTGGTGCTGACTTGGTTGCTCATTTCCCAATCCCCATCAGGGGATTGTGTGGCTTTGTGTCGCGATGGATGAAATTGAGAGAGAGAATGAGAAGTCTGGAGATGTGAATTAGATGAGAGAAAAATGAAACACATATTTATGAACCAACTGTGGGTGCTTTGCTTTGACAGACTTGAGCTTAATAGCCACTTCTTCGCCAGAGATGTCACCGGCACGACTGGGATTTGATAAAGATGCAGATGACAGTACGAACACCCACAACATGGGGCGGTATTTCTTCAGTGAGGGCAGTTGTGATGAGAGGGAGACGGGGCCATTTGAACTTGATGTTCCAAAACCTGATATATGTTGGTTGAAAGTCGTCACATCAATTCAAAGGAATCAAAGAAAAGGACAACTGTATTTGCAAAGGCATGGTAGCGCATACAGCACATAAAGTAGGGGTTCATAGCCAGAAAGCTCAAAATTTGCATGCTCACATGGCTGACTATGGCAATACAACTACTTACCCTTTACCTTACATCGGGTGATACAACATTCCTTAGTAGGCAGCTCCTGGGCAATCACTGCCAGCGGGTTCTGCATAGCTCCAACCACAGCCCCTGGGACCTCAACCATCCTAGGTTGTCATCCCTGGACAGAAAACTCCCTTCCATGAGCAGACATGGATGGTAGAATGGATGTTTGACTACCTCCAAGTGAAAGATTCGCAACATCAACTGAAAGCGCCGAGGAGACGGAGTTTGTCTGAGAGATGACAACTGAAGAATCCTGGGTTGCTTCTGACATGTGACGTGAAGTGGAGGCAGGGTTGGGGTCGAAGCTTGAGTCAGGAGTGGGCATGTGGGAAGGGGGTGTTGGCTGCTGGGGGCTGTTCAATTGTGCTAAGATGTCGGACTCCCATGTAGGAGCTACAGAGGCATCGACGTTGGATGAATCCAGTACAGTATTAGTAGAGGCACAACTAGAAGTGTTCCACACACCTTGATTGATGAATTCCATCACTTCCAATGACCACTCTCATTTTGATGGGTCACTTAATAGTTCGATGAAATACTCAAAGTCGTCCTGATACTTGAGTCTGCTTTCTTCCCCAATGGTAGTAAGCTCACGGTCACTCGATAGTAAGTACTGCGCCTGTTATACCAAGGCTGTTAGAATATTCAGGCCAGAAGAACATAGGGACACGAGACTTACAAAGGTTGCAGCGACGGCAATCAGACCAGCCGAAGCACCAGATATCCCCAGTTTCTGACCTTGTCCCTGTGGACCACCTCTTTGCTTGCCTGTGAGGACACCCTTGCCAAACACCATGACACGGATGATCTTGCAGAAGTAATTAATGTAGGTATAATTGTGAGTAGCGAAGAAAACTTACATTGACTAGGAGTTGGGATTTGAATAAGTCCCTAGCCACCAGAGCATCTGGTTTGGGGAAGAGGATCAGGGAGAGAGGGGTGTAGTGAGTACCAACACTCCCTGGGTGCATCTTCAGCAATGCTTTCACATCCTCATTTGACCCTCGTAGAATCCTTGAATTCTCAGCTGCGAATAAATCAGCACTAAGGCCCAAGTGCATGAAGAGTTGCTGTGCGTTATCCTTGATGGGCTTGAGGATGTTGGGTCTTTCAGCCCCAACCACATTTGAAAACTAGAAACAATAAACATTAGCATTCAAATTGTGGGATGTAAACGTTCACTTACCACACGGCCAAAGTTGCTATAAGTTCTTGCACGGGCCTTGAGGTCACTAGGTAGCATGGAATAGAGTTCCACCTTAAGGCCAATAATTCTTGATTCAGGCGTACTCCAACGAGCGGGGTCGTTCAGATCATATCTGGGCGGTGGAATCATGAGTGGGAAAACATCCTTCGGGACCCAGAAATGGTAGAAGAAACAATACTTTTTTGCTTGGGCAGCGATGTTATTGTCCAACATCGTGTTTGGGTTATTCTCCACAGCTCTCTTGCAGTTCTGTGGGAGAGTGGAGAGTAGACTGTTGTAGTCAGTTCGTAGCTTCTTCATCTCAACATGAAGTTTTGAGTATGCCAACTGAGTAGCGCCAAGTACCTGTCACTGTAGTGTAAGAATACTAAATGAACATGAAAAGAAAGTGACGTGCAATGTGTAGCTGGGGAGCACTAGCATCTGGAGGTGGTTCATGCATGATTCGATGCCATTCTTGAAGCTCCTCGAGATCAGAAGTGTTGTCCTTGGAGTCAGAGCAGTCTGAACATGAGTCAGATCCAGAAAATTCCAAATCGACACTATGAAGTGCATGTGTGAAGTCCTCAGGCATGTCTGCAAAACAGAAGATGATTCAAGTGGAAGGTAACAGGGACAAGAGTGTCACTACTTAGCCTGGGTCTGTTTTACACTCGCAGACCTTCTTAAAAGCTTGCAAGCCCACCTCAAGTCCGAGAAGACAGCCGCTTGGTGATGTAAAAAAGCATATCAGCGAGACGATGTCAAATTGTGTTTACTCAGGACACTAACATGTGGTGTGACTTGACATCATTTCATTGACTCTTCCATCGCTGCAATGCCATGTGGTCACTCCCTGGCAACCTTATCAGCAGTAATAGAAATACAACGATGCAATAAGAGGTAATAGCATGGTGAACACGGAAATGTATAGTGCAAACCAACCATGTTCATTCTGACACTAACCCTCCAAGATCGTCTAATTGCTCTGACCCTATGATAGTATAGAATTACATCAGTTTCGATGAAGTAATGCATGACAATGAGGATCACTTACCTGAAGTATCACTTTGTATTTCAGCTGGCATTTGATCAGAGTCAGAACTTGAAGGCTGTTCAGTTGGCAACCATGCTTGGGGCCGGGTCTGAATCCATTCCCTCATGCGAAGGAACATGTCTCCATCAGTGTGTTCAACAACCAAAAACTTGCCATGGTGGCTCAGATCCAGGTAAAGCAATGTGCCTCGAATGATCGACTTCACAGGAATGAATATTGACGCTGCACGAGATACAGCTTTGACTTGAACAAGTTGAAGATCTTGGTTCAACCTGTGCACTCCAGTCCCAGCAGTGAGCAGCTGAACAAGGGCAAACTGAAAAGTGTCTTCGAACACTGCAACCTTACAAGTGAACATGAATATGAGCTGAACGAAAGCAGTCTTGGTCTCCAAAAGCTGAATGAGGGTGCCATCATATCGTGGCCGACCATGGAAACTTGGATTACATCGGAGGTAGTTCATGGTGACCTCCCAGTCCACCATTGAAGCATACTGGACCTTCAAATATCGATACTCCTGGATCTTCAGAGGAATGTGGATAAGTCTGTATATAAAGGGAAGAGGACATACTGTATGTGTTCCTTGTAATTGTATCCACTTGTCAAGGGGGAACCCATAAGTCAGGAGGCAAGTGTTGAGGAAAGTTTCTAGCTTTTGATGGAATCCATCAAATGCCTGGTCATTTTGGTTAGTGTTCTCAACATCAGAGAGTGAGTGAGTCTGCTGGGGTGCGCTGAGCTTGGCATTCCCTTCGAGTACTGTGTTGTGGTCCTTGTCGTCATCAGTAGCATCGTTAACACACTCGTTTTCTGCATTGATGCGTGCCTGAATGAGTTTGGTTGCAAGTCGGTGGTGGTCAACATGGAGAATCTGAGTGACAAATCATGAGACAATGCCTAAGTGAGAGGAACTTAAATCGTACCTGCCCTGCAGTATCCTTTCCATTTGAGTGATCCTGGTATGCGTCTTTGAGCGGGCCATGCATTTTCTCATTGGGCCAGGCACTGTAGTTACGAACAACGCCTTTGCTTTGAATGTCACGGGTAACGTGCTTCCAGAGATGTGCCTTCGGAAAGTTCCAATTATCCTTCAGATCTGTATCATCCAAATGATAAACGAAGGATTGGTACAACTGTTATAGAAAATCATTACATGATAATAGACGGTTGGATAAACAGAATACCTTTAGTTCATCCCTGAAGATGAGAAGTTCATCTTTGATCATACCAAGAGTCTTCTCGGTGTGCACATCAAGTCCAATGAGGGTATCGAGTTGCAGGTAGCTACTGATCATATGAAGTAACTGATACCCAGCTTGAGACATCATCGGCGTCAAAATGTTGAGGGAGGCATAGAAACATTGCTATACCAGAGAGATTGTTAGCCATCAAACTACATTTAAACATGTCCTAATTGACTTACCCTGGTGAGATCTCGCATTTTATTTCCATCAGAAAACGTGATGTGAATCACTGTATCAAAATGTGCGAGGCCTTGCCAATGGGGAAAGGCAGAAACTCTGTGTGACAGTTAACCCATTCCACAGACTAAGTAGATTCTTACTGTGCTTCTAAACATGTCTTGGAATCACGGCCAAGCTCACTGACAACAATCCTGAGTTCCCCATGGATGTGCTTGCCTCCCATGCCACCATGCAGGGAGTGAAGCGGCTCAAAACTGGCAGCCTGTTCAGGCTCTGAATGTTCTACTGACCAAAAAGCGTTCTATCGTACATTCCGTCAGTCGTAAACATAGTACATGTGTCAAAGACCTACCTTGACAGGATGTAACCTGAGGGACTTCAGTTTCTTCTCACCAACTGTCTTCTTCTCCTTGAATAATGCCAGCACTCTTTTGTGTTGCTCAGTAGTACGCATTTCATATGTCTTCTTCAGATCCCAAAGCTGCTCCAAGGGGACCAGACAAAACAGGCAAGGGCACTTGGACTTCGTGCCTCGTATAAGGGTCATCACACAGCTAGGGAGGCCTGGTAAGTACGATCAGGTCACAGAGAAGTTAGTACCTACAGTTCTTCATAGTTGGCAGACAGGATAAGGACAAGTGGGAAGAGCCAGCAGAGAACCTTGTCATAGCATTCATGAAGATAACCGACCTTTGAGAGCTCTGCAACCTTCTCAAGGAGCTGAAAAAATGCTGTATGCCAGATGACACATTTGAAGTTTGCATAGCCAGTCTTTCCCTCTTCTTTTGCAAGCTCAGGAACCTGTAAAACCCATTAGATCTATTCGCTATTGCTCAAAAACGAAGGCATGGTACTCACAATCAGAAGCCAGCCAACGATGCAGCCACTGCCATATTGCTCACCATTGCGAACATGAACTGGGAGGTTTGCACAATGTGCTACAACAGGGTAGCCCTTGACAGTACCATGGGATGATAGCCACATCTTGTCAGCATAAATTATAAATGCGAATGGGACCATGTTATCCACATGACTGGGTAACCATGACTTTATTGGCACAACACGAAAAAGCGGATAGTAAATTTACAAAGCACAGTGGTATGAGATAACATCAATTACAATGTACTTGAATATCCCACCAATGATTGCCTGTCCAAGGTTCCAGTGTAGAAGTGCTCATATCTCTCACTGTCATGTTTGAAGAGCCAGTTGGGCATCCCAGATGAAGTGTGGTGCAAGGGAGGAATTTTGCAAGAGGTCGAGGGCCCAGTCCCACAGAGGGCAGATATGGACAGGGAATGTCACATGTCATTGCCCTTATAGGGCACTGGTAATTTTGAACTTGGAGAACTAACAAATGACTGGGAAGTGAGCCAAACATCAAAAGCATGCCAGTAACAAAGAGTTTACCATGTGTTAACTGTGCCTGCCAGCTCTATCCAAAGCAGTACTGTAGCCCAGCATCAGTTGCTGTAGCATGACACTTGTGGTTCCTTGACTTATACAGTGAACCAACTTGAGAAGGGAGTCAACTTGATTTGAGCTGAGCCCAGCTTCCACGGCTGATCGAGGCAAAGATGTAATCGCCCTCCGAAGGCAAAAGGGTGCACCAGGGCTCACAGGTCTGGGGGCATGCATTCGAGGTTTTGCTGGCTGAACTCTTCAGCGAATTGGAAAAGGGTTGGGCACTTACTACGGGGATGAAATTCAGTCTTGAAGTTGGGAGGATGGTCATTTGCGGCATCTGGTGCAGCGGAGTTCACTGAGCGACCCATCACATGGGCTGTTATTGACACATCAGAGTCTATAATCATATAGGCAACAAAAGATTAGTTCAAATGCCAGCTGATGACACATACACTCTGAACCTACCTGAGTCTGACATACCTCTACCACACAGGTCTGCCATGCCCATCAACATGTCATCTTCATTGGGAACAAAACTAGTCAGTGATCCTGTCCAGTAACATGCAAGCGTTGGCAAGAGCCATACTAGTGGTTTACATACCAGGAATAAATCATGAAGGGCCTACTGTTACTGATGGCTGTCCGAGTGGCACTGGTATCGTAGCTATGGTGGAGTCAGGACCCAAAGACCCAGCAATGTGAGGGTGCACTGATGATGAGGATGTTGCAGCAGCTGCTTCCTTAGCAATATTGGCTAGTAGGCAACCATTGTAAGCTAACGGGCAGTTGAGAGGATTTCATAAAAATGATCACCTCACCCCGACGAACATCCCGTATGTATGCCTTATTGTGTTTGACCCATTCTTCACAGTTCTGGAGCTCCTTCACACAGCTTCCTTCATGCCTTTTGATCCCTTGTGGCAGGTAGAGGTTCCCACAGTACCTGCAAGGTTGCTTAGTAGAAGATTCTTTTGATCACTGGTAGTTTCGATGGGGTGGCATGGTGGAGAGGATGCAGGTGAAGAGAATGAGGTCTCAGTGTCACAACCAGTAATATTATGTAATTGATGGTTGAATCTAATTGATAGCAATCATGTGATATGCACTTGCAATGATTCGTTGGGCTTAAGGTGCACATTCTAATACCTAATGGAGTATTGTTTTGGCATTAACATAATAAGTCAGTCTAAGACATCATTACATTGCCATTGGTATACCATTGAATTAGGCATCTCAGTCACATGACAAGCTGCCAGGATTGTTATGGCACTTAACTTTTTTGTGACATCCCTGGTCATGTCCCTGGTAGTCATCACTGTCCTAGGGGTTTGTATGCTGTGTGAGGGACTTGGATCTCCAGCTGTCATGGTATTTCCAATGCCTACTGATGCAGTGCCTCTGGAAGATCTGGTTTTCCACTGCCCTCTCTGATGGACAACATGTTATGTTCCCTTTTCTCTGACACACCATTGTTACTTATATGTTACTTTCTTGTTCCAGTGTCAGGCTCCTCACTGTGCATAGATTGTGCAGCTGGTATAGCCTTTGTTTCTATGCTACCCCCATCATATGACACCATATGACTCCTTTTGACTTATCTATTTGACTGATTGTTTTGTTGATTACTGCAGATACATGTCATGACTGGTATGGTACTTGTACTTACAGGTATATAGACCTGAGTACTTTACTCTGTATCCTCAGTTTTCTGATTACTTGCAACTCAGCTTCATCCCTCTGCTCTTGTTCTTGTTCCCTTCCCTGTTGTGATCTCAGCAGAACTCACCAGTGGAAGTGAACTCTTTCCAAACCTTTGCAGTAATTGAGCCATAGGGGTTACATCAAGTTTGGCCTGAAGTATTCCCCTCATGCCCTTCATGCCTAGTCCATTTGATGAAGTCACTCAGCTCAAGCATAATAAAAGGCATGGAGTGATAGGGGCTTGTCACAGAGACAGCAGAATTTACTGATGTTTCCTGTTTCAGCTTCAGGGAGTATACAGCTCCCTACACCTCCCAGGGACTTCAAATGCTGACTGTCCTTGGTCAGACTGACCCAAGATGCAACAGAGATGAATGCAGAATTTCAGTAGGCATTATGTAACAATGATGGCTCATGATTGGAAATCTGCCTTGTGCAGAGGGAAATTGTTATGACCATGTATTCATCCTAGGTCCTTACTCACTCCACACCCCTTTCCACTGGTCATTTGCTCACTCCACACCAACTCCGACCATCCCCTGATGTTTACAGGTCATCTCCACTCCAACTGCTGTCAGACTTGTACTGCTCTCCTACTGGACTGCATGGGCCATTCTCTGAGGAGTCATGTGACTACCCTTTGGACTTCTCCCTGACAGCACATGATCAGGTACTCTGCAGTGCACTGTCACACACCAAAGGTGTTTGGTGAGGTGGACATGGATACAGCTAATGAATGGAGATGAAGACCATAGCCCTCATGTGAAGAAGGACAGCCAGAAATATCAGCAATCATGCCTTGCACAAGAACAAGTCATCAGTGCCAAAGAAAAAGAAAGGGAGCAAGTTAAGTGCTGGTTAACATTCTTAAGTGCCCATGTACAGCATTCCAGATTTCAACATATCTCTGCTGTTTCTGCAGATCCCAAGACCATTCCCACACTCACTTGTAGTGCTCAGCCACACAATCCTACTTTCCAAAATTGGAAAGAATTTGTGCACTCCACATGTTTCTACAGCACTCCCTCCAACAGATGCTCATTTCACTAATTCTTCTGATATGGCCACCTCCACATCAATCATTTCACTTGTCCCCTTTGCTAGGGACCATGGCTACATATATCTACCAGGAGTTCCTACCAGCTTCTGTCCTGAGGCATCCTGGTACATCCCACCCTCATCTGTGCCCTCTCAGCCCATCCAGCTTGGACAGCATGTTCTTTCATCAGTATGACCTCCAGGAGGGTTTTCTTTGGTTGCCTCAGGTCTGTCATTTGCTTGGAAAGGTCTTATGTGGTTGTTTCAGTCTCTCCAGTCCAAGAAGCATATGGATCCTTCCTCCCTGCTCCCTGCAATGTCTTTGTACCAGTCTCATCCATCATTCTTCCAAGATTGTGACAGCTACAGTATAATCTACTGTTCTCCACTCTCCCTGATTGCATCCATGATGAGTATGATGCACATCTTGCCTCCTTGTTGCAAGATACAGCAGAAGACACTCCCCATTCATCCTCTCTTCCAACAGAGCCTCATTCATGAAGTTTTATTTGCTTCACTGAGAGGATGGTTTGGGGGGGAAAGTTGCAATCCCCTATGCTCCTGTCACCCCACAGACCCCCAAAGCTTGACCCCTGTTGACATCTGACTCACCCTGTCCACTTTTGGATGTACTATATTGGCATCGGATCAGTGCTGCCTCTCTGTCATCCCACCTTGGCCTAGAAGCAATCTCTTTGAGATGTGACATGCACAGCCTCCCCCTAATGCAATTCCAGTGTGCTTTCCCAGTTCCTGACATTACTTGACTCATACTTTGATGTTTTGACTGTCTTTGACTCACCTATTGCTAATACTTACCAATCTTTTGACTTTGCTTACCGATCCTTCACCTTTTGGCTTGCTTATCCTTACCAATGCTTTCCAAGATGATTACCCATCACTTACATTTCTTGCTCATCAGTTACCAATCACTTACCAAGTGTTTGCACCTTGTTTTCCATGGGAAACACCCCTGTACTGTATATAAATCACTGTACTTAGATAGCAAAAAGAGAAAAGAGGATGTCAGAGAGCCCCTCTTACTCACATTTTTTATCATTACTCAGTAAATCCTCCATCAGCTTTGATAGTTGAGACTTTATTAAGGGTCTAACTATTGTCTACTCTGCTTATTATCATCTATCATCAATCTACTTCACTCCAAGTCCTCCCTGAGCTCAGTGCAGCTCAGAGCATAAAATTAAGTCATCATCCATCCTTCTGTAAGCTGACAGCAGTCTACCCTATTGCATTCTCTTGCATTCCTGCTCCTTCTTCATCAGGAGCACCCCCAACCCTCAGCACTCATCTTTGAGTGTTATAGCTTGCAAAAACCCTCCCAAAGAACAGGTTCTACCATCTAGGTACCACATAGGCACACCACCACTTGCTTCTTTTGTCTTTTGTGTTGGTTTTGGTTGGTTTTCACCACTGAACCACACTTTGACTCACAGCACACACCACATGGTCCAGCACCTGGACTGTTTCTTCTTTGGGATGTTCTGTGTTACCCATTTCTGTGTCCTCTGTCTACCCTTCATTCATTGTCTAGGAGGTTTTACTTGAAATTTTATGAGTCTCCATATGTCAGTTCCAATTCTGATTACTGTACCTCCATAGTAGTATAAAAGCATGTACAGTACTCTGCTGTTCTTCAGTATGAATATTGACTTAGTTCCTACTCCCTCTGTCTCCATCTTCTGCCCATTGGAGTTACCTCTGACTGTCCATCTGTACTCCCCCTCTGAAATATGAGGGCTGAGATTGTGCAAGGGGGTAGTGCATGAGCTAAACCCAATGCCCTCACTCTGCTCAGCCTTTATCTTGGCAGACTTCATTCCTGCCAACACTCCACCAGTCAGAGTTCTGTTCTTTCTCTCAGACTTGCTTCTGAACCTTGTCTAGCATCAGAGTTGGTTGGAGTAGGCCCAGACTTGACAGAAATTCCACATTGTGTGAGACAGCCCTGTGGCATTTAAACTCACTCAGAAGGTGGCTCACTGCTCATCAAACCTTCACACCCCAACAACAGCTGCATCCAGTCATCCA